CGGAGATCTTTTTGATCCGATCAGGTGTCATCTGCATGTAGGCTAATGTTTGTTCAGCCGATAAAAAATCCGGCAACGAGAATCGTATAACACGTATGCATATTTATTAACAAAAAGTCAAGAAATACATAAGATGCATGCATCTTTAATGTTAATAAAAGAAGAAGGTCTCTCATTGGATTATCATGTGAGACTCGACGATGATGCACTCGATGGTGAGAATGCGGATTCGTCAGATGTAATGTAGGTCAGGAAATTACGTTTATTAGCAGCGTCTTTCTTAATTCCTCGCAAGTCTTTTTTCATTCTAGAATTTCCCGCGCAATTCACCGTGCATGTCCACATCCCAACTCCACGATATGGTGTGCGTGTTGATAATTCATTAGCCCTTTCACACGTACCGTCTTCTTGACGTAAAAATTTCCTTTTCCATACAACTAACCCTCGTGTGACAAATAAAACGGTGATTGGAGGACTAGAAAAAGGACCGTCAGACGACCGTCAAACGCATTTATCTCTGTACCAGTGATGATGATTGATCGCACGAGTAGTTGATCAATAATGACGAACGGTGCATAGAGACCGACCATTCTCTTTTTACTTTTTCTCTCTTGTTCTTCTCTCAGTATTGATGTCGTGTTCTATTACATCTCTGTCACCTCTCTGCCACCTTCTGTCCTGCTCACACTATTCACGAATACAGTACATCGTAATTATTTGGATACACCTTTTGTGCAGAGGATTACTGATAGCTGACACGGTTCCGAGTCTCATGGAATCGGATCGATCACAATAACCGGCATATCAAATGAAACTTAATTGGCAGCGAAGTTTTTTTTTTTTGAGCAACCCAAATCTTCGATTCCCGTTACCAATTAAAAAGGAAATTGATATTATCAGTAGATAAATTGATCCTGCTGTTTACCTAAGAATCAAATTTATCTATCCTCCTGAGTATTGTGTTATCAACCTTGATAGCATGTTTATATGTGAAAGGACGCAAATGGTTCTGCACATTAAAGGACCCGTTCAGAATAATAATTACGCACATTTGATATCATATGCGATCTAAAGAATCACCGTTCAATGAAGCACTTTATTTGATTGATATCACATTCGACGTAGAATATTGGGAGTGACCTTAATCTTTCAGTTCGAATGGGCCTTTCACCGTCGAGGCAACTTTCTTTTCTGTAGATTTCTTTTTTCGTTTTCATTCTCGGTCATAGTAATAAATATGATAGCAAATCAAATTTAACAGTACGTGACTTTATTTGGGCTCAGGGTAGATCAAATGATGTAATTTATTACTGGGGATCCCCCTCATTTAAATTGTCTAACAAGGCGCTAATACTAATCAAGCGTCGTAACGCAACAATTCCCTGGATCGTATACAGTATATGCGTGCGTTCAAATCAGGTTAATCTAATAAAGTGGCATCGTATGTATTGAAGTAAATTAATGATTTAAATAGGTTGTAATTTTATTATTATTTTTTTTTTTTTTAAAAAAAAAAAAAAATCATGACTACAACGTTCACCACATAATATGGTAACCTTAATATGTACGATGGTCAGCAACAATGGTGTAAATGTGTAATAAATATGAATAAAGGTTTCGTAAATGGTAAATAGTATGCAATTGCGATATTACCTAATATAAATAAGGAAGATTGTGGATAAAACGAGTAAAAATGAGTGCTACGGAAACGAAATGAACATTTTATTTACGGGCGGGTGGGCGGAGTATTGTCAGAAGGGGGCGATGAGAAGATTTGGCAACAAAGCGTTTTGTTATACGATGGGCATAAACACTTCACGGACATCCTTCTTTCTCCCAAAATACTTAATAAGTGCGCACCCGGGTGCCGCCTATTCTGATGTGCAACTGGGGCAATGATTTTTTTTTTCATCTTTATTTGCGAAAAAGATTAATAATAATAAAAAAAATTGGATTTATTGGAATTTATTGGAATTTACTAAAAAGTCAATCATCATAGATTTTGGATACATTAAAATTTACCATAAAGATGAAGCCGACCCTCTTACGGAAAAGGCCTTTATGTATTTAACTTTGTTTAACATAATTGCCATACACTATTATGTTCTCAAAATGGCAATTTTAAATGGCGCCTCGGAAATTTCATGTATTTGATACTCCGAATGAATATAGAATCAGAGTCCAGAGTGTGTTGAATTTCAGGCTCGCCGAATGGTGACCAAATTCCCAGCTTCCATTCTTCGTTAGCACAAAATTGTCATCATCTGAAAAAATCAGGTAATAACGAATTAAGTTTTGTTTCATCGCATGACTCGTGACCTTGTGTGCAAGTGTTCAAAATCACTAATTAATATCATCACGAAATGGTAATGTGATCGAATGATAATAATTACCTCGAAATCACTTAAATAAATCATCAAATAATAATTTATTATTTTTTTATGATTGATGGGTTGTTTTAATAATTGTGTGTGTGTGTGTGTGTTTGTGTGTGTGTGTTTGTGTGTGTGTGTGCGTGTGCGTGTGTGTGAGTATGGATGGTTTTCTTAAGGAGTCGTTTACGCAATCAAATGAAATCAGCATCTGAATATGTGATTGCCGGTACATTTATGATTAAAAAAATTTCTGATTTCATTCTTGATGCGCTCTAATTTCTAAAGGATTCTTCTGATCCGCGTGTGATCGGAGATGTTTTTTTCACCGGTGAGAAATGCTACATGAATCTTTCGAATTCCCGATTTCTTGCATCCTCAATCACTTTTCTGGCATTCTCAATAACTTTTTCTGGATTTCCGTCGCGCTCACCAAACATTCAAATCTGACCATACCCATTGAGATTTTGATTTGACATGCATTTCTTTTACACTTTATTTACTTGTCCTTTCATGCAATGCGTGCTAAAGGTCGATCGACGTCTCTCTCACCTTCACAGAATATTTTGTTACATCGGTCCATTGGGTGGTCACAAAGTTTTGCCGTGCAACCCGTGGCACTCGTCACACCAGAACAAATTTAATTAATACTAGTGCGCTCAATATAAACGTACGTGATTTCTATAGGACAGGAGATGGGGACAAATAAATATGCGAAAAAATATAAGAAAACAGTACATTTCTCATTAAGGTCAATCAAAGAGTTGTTCCTGACCCCTCAGGGATATTTCAAAAAAAGCGAGAAATTTGGTATAATGAAAGTATATTTTCGGCATTGAAATGCTGCAAAGAAATATAAACAACATTCTATTCTATATTACTGAAATAGTGCAAATAAATAGCATCAAACATATATGTCACATTAATAAAATTAGGAAATTAATAAATAAACAACGATTGATGCACAATTAATTAATTTTCAGATCAAAAATTTTTTGCAGCGTCCACTGTGGCATTCAATCTTGGCGTCGACTAATTATTCTTCAATAAATTCAATTATTGTTACATGTTATGTCATACGACTAATTGGCTTATTCACCTAGTCAAAATTAATTGATCGATACATTCCTTCATCGCTTGCGGTTTTAGAATCGGTGATATGCATCGTCCTGCGTTCACCTGTCTCATTACTGGCAGTTTCATTCAAAGGGTCACAACCATTTCACGGCAATCGCTCATTCGTTGATTATTTTCCGTTTTCCATTTGCGCTTTTGCCATGGTCTATTTTTGTGTGATTCATTTTTGTTATTCGACAATTTCCTTCTTTCTTTAACCCATTCTATCATCAATTTAAGTGTTTCCAACTTCGGATTGCCGATTATAGAAAAACAAGATTTCTAAAAACAGGTCGAATAATAAAGGGAAAGGCTAAAAAAAAAAAAATGAAATGAAATGAAATAAAATGAAATAAAAAATTAAAGAGTAAACTCTACATCATTTGTGGATGTAACAAATAGTATTGTCCCTGTATTATTCAAAAAATCTTGGTCTTCTCAAGAACGTCCCTTATTACTCGCGTACGACAACGAACATTTGTCTCTTTGATTATATTTGTCATTTCCGTAATCAGAAACAACAAATCTAATACCTTAAAAGTAAAATAATAAATTAAGCAGGTGCACCCATTGGGACCCACTGCAATATATATTGTACCTCCATCCAGGTATGCACATCATGACATCTTTCCGTGACGGTAACATTTTTGTCTTTGCCCACCCGTCGGTCAACCATCATTCGGCAATCTCCTCCCCATTGATCTCAGCACCTCCCTAATACGTACATCCGTTGCCCTCTCGGCATTCGCCTGTCGCCAGAGCGGCAATTTTGGTCGACTTTCTTTTTGGCATAACGACGCTTAAACATGGTTTCTATGCAAGATGACGTAAAAAAAAAAAAAAACAAATTGGCTGACGAACGTGGTTGAGGAAGCAACCGAGAAATCGGAGATTTGACCGGCAAACCTGGTCTAGGATAAATCGGTGTCGTGACATTCCACCAAGGATTACAAGTTATAGTGTCAATGATATTACCCTAAATACTGTTCAAATGTCCAATAAAGAAATCTGATAGTTGTTCATCAAACATGTGATGTATTTCTGAATTGAATGAGCATGATTGAATTGGCGGATTTGCGTTGAGGATTACGCTTTGAGTTCCAAGGTGCGTATACGATAAACAATCTGGGAACAAAGGAGATAGGTTTTGGGTTGTATCGGAGTTAAAGAAGGTCAGGCGCCAAAAAAGGAAAAAAGGCATTCGAATTTGAGACTGATAGGTTTGTACCTAACATACTTATTATATACTCTATGAATAGCGTAAATAAAGGAAGCCGACACGTTTGGACAGGGTTTGAAAAAATTCATTTCAGTGCCACTCCA